ACCAACAAGCCGCCCTTAAGTAAACGAGGAAGCCATTCGGTTTTTAACATTTCGGACTAGAATCGATCGCAAAAGCCACTGCGCTTTCCACTTGACATGCTTGATTGGATGCGAAAACCAGCCTTTTCCTTCAAGTTGACGTCAGCCGACTGTTGATTGAGAAGAGAAACTGATCAAACAAGCTTTAATGTTCCTTTCGTCACAACGATATCTCGGTTGAAAGCCAATCTCCAAGCCAGTCAGTTTGATCGCCGCCGTCGCCTATACCACACATGTACATCTGCCAACACAGACTTTTCGCGGGCGATTCTCAGCCGTGCACGTTCCCGCCAACGCACGAAAAAATGGAAGCCATTTCGATGTTGGGTCGTGGATGAAAATAGGGCTTGTCCGGGAATCGAACCCGGGACCTCTCGCACCCGAAGCGAGAATCATACCGCTAGACCAACAAGCCAGCACTGTGTCGGCAGAAAATTAGCTACATCGTTCTGGCCGGTGTACAGCATTAAAAACGAGTTAACTCCTGTCGTCAGGAAACAAGGAGAAAGAAACGAATGGAAATAACGCTGCCAGATACACACGGACGTGAAAGAAAAGTTGGGCTTGTCCGGGAATTGAACCCGGGACCTCTCGCACCCTAAGCGAGAATCATACCTCTAGACCAACAAGCCGGACGAGAGTTCAAAACATTTCCCGAAACAAAAGATAACGGTGATACTGAGAAAAAGGAAATGAGTCAAAATGGAAAAAAAAACTTTCAGGGCTTGTCCGGGATTCGAACCCGGGACCTCTCGCACCCAAAGCGAGAATCATACCCCTAGACCAACAAGCCGCCGTTAAGTAAACGAGGAAGCCATTCGGTTTTTAACATTTCGGATTAGAATCGATCGCAAAAGCCACTGCGCTTTCCACTTGACATGCTTGATTGGATGCGAAAACCAGCCTTTTCCTTCAAGTTGACGTCAGCCGACAGTTGATTGAGAAGAGAAACTGATCAAACAAGCTTTAATGTTCCTTTCGTCACAACGATATCTCGGTTGAAAGCCAATCTCCAAGCCAGTCAGTTTGATCGCCGCCGTCGCCTATACCACACATGTACATCTGCCAACACAGACTTTTCGCGGGCGATTCTCAGCCGTGCACGTTCCCGCCAACGCACGAAAAAATGGAAGCCATTTCGATGTTGGGTCGTGGATGATTAAAATCTAAGTCCATTATAGAGGTCAGACATGGATTATTTTACTATGATTTATTAAGGTAAGCTCCTCCCACTCCGCCATTTTGTTTTTCTTTTTTATTAGTAAATTTCCAATACCCCGGAATCTGAATAATAAATTAAAACTTGTCATAGATGACCTCTTTACATTTGTCGATTCCATTGGTTGATTGTTTAATTATTCAGCTCTGCCATATCATTGCCAACATAGTCACTTTGTACTTGTAATATGTAGGCTACATATTCTTACACACGATCAATTTTTTAGTTATCAAGCACTAATAGGTAGAATTTTAGAATTAAAAACAATCATTAACCTAATTGAAATGTGAATATAAAATGTCAGCGTGAATGATGTTTTGTCCTCTTCAAATTATGTCCAAAACAATGGGTTCCAGTAGGCATAGGCTGTTCATATTGTTTTCTAGGCTATCTCTATGAAACAAATCCTGAAGTCCACAGAGTATGCGGCTATAGGTAAGAATTTTAATTTTCACATCAACACTAAGAAATTCTCTTCCTCATATTTGTTTGTTAGCGGTAACTTGTCAAATATTTAGTTGATTACCGATGGTAGCTCTAACTTTTAATAAGTTCCCAAAAATGTCATATGTCATGTATAACAGATGAGGTGTAGGCCTATATATCGAGTGGTCCAGAAAAAACGATAGGCACTAAGACTTCTCATTTCAGGATTTATCAAAAAGTATCAAAGCTATATGATCATGATATTACGACCTCTTATTTTATATTAGCTTTATAGGTTGATTCCTTTACAAACAGCCTTTTTTAAAATTCCTTCTCAAAAATATAATACCGAAAGTTAATACAGTAATTTCACATCTCTAAATAAACAAATTCTCCATAAGAATATTTTCGGCAAAAAAAAAACAAAAACAATCAAAATTCCGTGAAAAAATGACTTCTGAATTTTGAAATTTGGAGTATTTCATAATAAAGATGAATGGCCACCCCAAACTCTTGACTACAATCAAATGGTTTGCCCGTGCGTTTTCTCTGGCTGATAAAATTACTACTGAATTGAAGTGTTTTTTCTGGGCCACCTGATATTAAACAATTTTACATTTGGGTTTCTGTCACTTTAACTATAATTTTAAGATGAACCAATCACGGGTGACAAGCAAATAATTAACTCGTGTGTAGGCTAATTAAGATTAAGATATTTGTCGAGATATTTAATCAAGATCATCAAGCCCTGGATGATTGAAGGACGCAAGAATAAGACGGTAACATTTATTGTGGTATGTAGTAATTTGTTATCTCCCTTTAATTGAGTTTCTACAAGTGGAGTTAAATTATCGATAAGACCTTCTTGTAAGAAAGGTGTATACAATTTTTTCTTTTCATTTTGTGTTTACAAATGTTGTTTTATTGAATAGTAGTTGCTATGACTAGCATTATATGATTTGAAAGGTAATGGACTAAATATATTAGTTTGCTTACAATACGCTAGCGTCGTAATTTGTGTCTTCAGGTAAGGTTCATACTTTTTAGAATCTGTTATCATCTAGCCTATAGACTGAGGCCACATTTCAATTCAGAAAGCAGTGTAGATTCTTTTATCAAATTAAGATATAGGATCCTGGTACCCTTGCCATCTATGTGTAGCAGGTATATGTGTCAGCCAAAATTTCAGATAATTTCAAATGAAGTTAATGTGTACATTCCAAGTTAATTTATCTTACCAAAGCAAAGTCACTCTTTTTCACTCAAGACTAGACCTATCATTAGATCTACAGTGTAGGCCTACTGTGCTCTAAAATATAATTCTAAAACTAATATTCCAAATCTACTAAATTCTAGTTTACTGACAAATATTGAATTGTATTTGAAACAAATATTTGAGTACCAGTACGGTAGGCTATGCTTTGCGCTTCAAAATAGAAGTGATTTGATGATAATGTTAGCTTGTCCATTTTCGATTGAAATGATTTTATATTTTATATATAGAATAGATTCTATATAAGCTTCAGGATCGGTAATTCTATATTTGAAATAAATCTGTGTTGGCCTTATAAATTCTCAGACTGCCATCTGTTATTTAATTGAGTCCCCAAAATTTACAAAAGACAGGGTGAAGGAGGAAATGTGGAGAAGAAATTCATTTAAGATATCAGTGGTTAATAGTAGGAGAGTAAGAGAACTGTCTAAAATGTTGGTCACTGTTGGTGCATGGGACCTTGTGGGTATATTATGTTTTATCAAAACTATCAAATAGAAATAGTTTTAGGTTATTCATAAATCCATGATAAGACAATTTTGTGTGTACCCTGTCTTACCACACGTATGTCAAATTGATGAGAATTGATATGATAAATAGTCTTCAGAAACTTCACTACACCCCAATTGGGTCATAACATCGTAACATCATTATAAGCGTATTAAAAAATGAAGTGAACTAAGCTCCTAGTAGATTTTATTAGCAACACGCTTTAGAATCGCATTTTTGTCGCACATGTTGCACGTTGACATCGACTGTAGAATTTGTAATTTTACGGGGCTCTTTCTTACTTTTTTGTAAATGGTACAATTTTGAAGTTTAGCTGCCATGAACATTTTTGCTGTGTAGGCTTTTGCACAATAGCTTGTTGTAATAAAGTCCTTATTAGTGCATGTACAATATTGATTGTAGTAATATTTAACTTATTCAATTTGTACAATACAATTTTGAAATTATGATATAAACATAATTCTTTATTCAACTCTTATTATTTGTGACCTGATAACATTGACATAAATGGTTTATAAACTTACCAATAGGTTACAATCAAATTCGTACAATGCAATTTTGAAATCATGATATAAACATAATTCTTTATTCAACTCTTATTATTTGTGACTGATAACATTGACATAAATGGTTTATAAACTTACCAATAGATTACAATCATTTTTTAAATATTTTTAGTTGATGAAATCAATACCAGTGAATATGTCTGCCTCTGAGAGTCTATGTTGTTGTGAGTATGACAACATTAATGGTGAAAGAAGCCATCTACTTGCAACATTCTGTGATTGTGAGGCTTTTGATCAAACTTGTGATAGGTGAGTACAACATTTAGTGTATTTTTTTACTCTGTTACTTCATTAAGATAATCTCTTTCTCTAATAGGAAACAAAGATAGACATTCTGGAAGTGACAACAGTTTAAACATGGTATGTAGATGTTGAACTGGAAGATAGCTTCAATATTCAAACTCTTTTATTCCTATATCATTCTTATTGAATCAGTTATTCTTGCTGATATAAGTTCAATTTGGAAGGCTAATATCAAAATGTCAAGACTATAAGGTTATGTATTATAGTGGATTGTATGCTACAAATCTTTGGTCTGAATGTCATTTCGACTCTATCCAGGATATTATTGAATAAATATCATTTGATACATATATTTGCGTCCTTTATTTGCATGGTTTATGTTTTTGTGTTTCAGGTTGTTAAAATGTGATTCAGTGCCATCAGAAACATTACAAAGGTTGTGGTTAACAGTCAGTGATAGATGTCGCATTCCATGGTGTTCAGGTCAGGGTGCAGTGCAACTGAAACTAGATATTGTAATCCCAATCATCATGATACCATCTTTATTATCATTTGCTACTTTAGGTTTTAAAGTTACCATTGCTGTCTTATTATTTATGCCTATATTTATACTGGTATTTTATACAATATGGCGCAGGCAAGGTCACAAAAGAACCCAATTCTTTTTTATTTGGGGTTTGACATCCGTGCTTTTTACCTTTATTGTGTTTTGTTCATGTGTTGTTCCCTATCGGGAGATTCTTCTGTGGGAAATACTGTTATTATTTTCTGCAACCCTGATTATGCTGTATGCATTAATAAAGGCAAAGAGACAGCCTGGTTATTTATCAGTTGTGAAATCCAGTCAAAATAAAGAATTGAAATATAGACAAGTGAAAAGAAATGGACACCTTAAAAATGGAAGTGATTTTACAAATGATAAAGATCTTCATGAAATACAATCGTTTGACATAGATATTGAAGACAAAAGGAGTATAAATGAGTCTGAGATAAAGTGGGTTGATTCACGACCCATTAGAGGTAGGTAAGATTTGACAGCAATACTATTTTGTAACGAGCCAAAGTGTATTTAAAATTTAATGGGTTATAGTTTCCTAATCTTTTTTTTAGGCCCAAATTATAATGTGGTTGTATATTGTGGTCGCCCCTGTCCGTCTGTTGGTCCGCCCGTACACAATTGGCTTGTGCACGGCATTGAGACAACAGTTTTTATCTGACTTGAATGAAATTTGGTGTGATCACTTATATTAATGAGATCTTGGACAAGTTTGAATTTGACGATCTTTCGGTTTTTGGGTTGCCCTTGACTTATGAAAAACATGTCAAAATTTGGTTGTGAACCACAACAGTTTTCGTCCAATTTAGATGAAATTTGGTGTGAATATTTATAATGATGATATCTTGGAGTTCAAATTTTGGCTTTCTTTCGATGAACAGTTTTTGAGTTATTGCCCTCAAAATTTGTTTGTGATTACACAATAGAGACCACATTTTTCATCCAAATGAAATGAAATTTGTTGTGATCAATTATAATGATGAGATCTTAGACATGTTCGAATTTGACGATCTTTCGATGAACGTTTTGAGTTATTGTCCTTGATTTTTGAAAAACGCGTCAAAATCAGTTTGTGAACACAATAGAGAGTACAGTTTTCATTCGATTTAAATGAAATTTGGTATGCTCATTTATAATGATGAGATCTTATTCAAGATTGAATTTGACAATTTTTTAATCAATGGAAATTGAGTTATTGCCCTTGACTTAGTAAAAACGCATCAAAATTTGTTGGCGATAGAGGTGACAGTTTATGTCCGTATTTTATTAAATAATGTATGTTTGTTTAAATCAACAGTATCTTTCACAAATTAGATTTTTGGTATGATTTGACACAGATAAGTGACCGTCCTTGATATACTGAAAATGTATCAGGAAAGTGGGCGTATCGTGTTAGGCAACCACTTGTTTTTCCCGGAAATAGAGTTCAATTCCAACTGATGCTAACACCTTCTGTTCATCATAAAATCAGCATATTTTGATTATTATGTGTAATCTGATGATAATGACCAAGGTATTTAAGATTGGAATTTAATATATGATTATTAGAAATTCAAAACCACAATTTAACAAAAAACACATATATGAAAAATTTTCTTATTTGACCTAATCATCTCAATAATCAGCAAAATTGCATTAACCCTTTGAACCCTGAGTGTAAATGAAATATAACGTCATATACCCTGAACTCCAAGTAATGATGTTCACGCTGTAGAACGTCATTTAGTAACGTCCTGTTTACCGGCTGCTCATATATATATTGCATAAGTTTGTGTCCAGTAAACCAACCGCTAGGGTTGAAAGGGTTAATGAACTTTGCTTCTAGTTATCAACAAAATTTGGTTTAGTAAGGAAAGTAAGAAAACAGTAGTTCTGTGATTTCCATATTTTAATGGATCATCACAATATTAGATGTCATTGCTTTTAATTTAGTTCACGGTGATATGAGGCAACAGCTGTAGCTTGGGTGATATACCCATTTTACATAATCAATATATCAAGACATGTCACAATTACGCATATCATATAGCATTGTCATGTATGGATTTATGATGGTACTTGGTTTCTGCCTTTAGTATAGAGAATTGAAATTACTACGGTACTTTTAATTGCTTACATTATATTCATATGATTATCAATAATTGAATTGCTATGAGGACTTTGCAACCAGCTTGTGAAAATTAGTAATTATTTTAGTTAATTTATTCATATGTAGATATTTATTTATTATAGTGTAATTGAAATTAGACCAATCTTCCGTTCTTTTTTATTAGCTTTTATTTTTGATATAGCCACTTCAGGTATGGTCTATAATTCATCACAATAACATTTGGAGTCCAAATTTTGGACCTAACCTGATGACTTTAACCAATCAAATGCCATCACTCACTTGTAAAATCCCAGCGCTGGAGAGGGCAAAAATTTGATTGGTTAGAGCAAAAGGCTTTTGTGAGGAATGTCCAAGAGACCTGTCTTAAGACCTTAACCGAGGTGGCTTCTTTAAATATAAAAGCCAATCAAAAACAGAACGAAACTTTAGTTTGATTTTAATAATTAATTTAAAGTTAATGAAAATATGAAATTTGCAGGACATTTGACAATTATTTTCATTTCATTTTATTATGATAAAAACTGTACATAGTTTGTCAAAATCTGTCATATTACATCTTTTTTAATGTTTCCATTTTTAGAGGGTAGATTAATAATAAGATGTAATCAATGCAAGCTCAATCGACCACCACGATCAGGACACTGTAATATATGTGATATCTGTATAGAAGTGAGAGATCATCATTGTGTATGGTATGTTGACTTTAGATAACTTTTTTCTTAGAGCCAGTTCTATTTAAGTATTTCTAAGAACCAATAGAAATTTTCACAGAATGAATAATTCACAAAAAAAAGATGAGAATTGATTTGTGCTAACCACACTAAATAATTCAACCTTTTTATGTATACCTCAAACATTTATGGGAGTAAGTACCATGTCAAACACATGTTGCATGATCAAAGTCTAAGACAGACTATGAAAAGTTGCAAACCCTGAAAGATAAGTATTCTTGAGAGCTAATTGGTGGTAATTATATTTTAGGATAGATAACTGTGTAGGAGCCAACAATCATAGACCCTTTTTGGCTGCAATGATTTTGTTTATTTTTTGTGGATTTTATGGAGCCCATCTTACCTTGACAACAATATGTACACCTGATATGGTATTTGATTGGATTCTCTTGCCTAGTGATTGTAGATGGTTGTATGCTGAATTTTCGTAAGTATTATATGTTTTATTTTATTCTTGGAATATTGAAATTTTCAATCTTATTGTTCATCTACATGAAGCTTTGATTTTAGTTTTTCACATGAATATTTGATGATGTCTGAGTTTTAGTGCAATTGCAGGAACCATAGAGGACTGATTGAAAATACCGGTAGTGCAAATTGATGTTATCTGTATCCGCGATACACATAAATAATTTTAAGAATCCTTTTAAGAATTGATTATCTGGGTGTGTTATTTTTACAAGATATCTTCTGTGTTTAATTGCTATATTTCTTTTATTCAGAACTTCTTTGTGTTTTGTGACTACATGTTATACTTTGATTGGCAGTTCCATCATGAGTTTTGGCCTGATCCATCAGTTACTTCTTATCAGTCAAAACCTTACCTCTCAAGAACTTCATAATGCTACTGTAAGAGGACTTACCAAATGTTGCTTCTTTGCTGAAAATAATATCCACAACCAAGGAGTGTTAAGAAATTGGATTGAATTTTTATTTTATCGTAAAAGACGATCTTCACCAGAAATTCCATCTTAGCTGTGAAAACTTTTTTCTACCTAAATTGTCTTGTTGCTGATGCTGACTTTGACTTGATGTACTCGATCAATTAACCAGTCATATCCAATATGTTACACAATTATTATTTAATTTGATATAAATTGAGTAAAATCCTTTCAGTAAAGATGTAATCTTTTGTTATCTCACAATGAACATTTTTTGAATATTGGCGTGTTATGTAAAATTGGTATAGTGAATTTTTAATATTTTGATTGAATTAAATCAAACAGTTTTATTATGAAAGTATGAAAATTCCATTGTAACTTTATAAGCTTTGACCTAGTCCTATAAACATCAGATATATCATAACTAAGCTTTACCTATATGGCTCACTTTTTAGGAATTGAAACATACCATCTTATTCTCAAAAACTGAACTTGATTTTAGTGTTCCAGTCATCTGATTGGTCAGGCACTAAAATCGATTTTAAGTGAAGTTTTATTATCCAATTAAATTACTGTATTTCTTAAAATCTGGATGTAAGTTTTCGAGAATAAGGCACCAGGTCTATGATTAGTTTGAAATACTTAGTTTAAATCATTTTAATTAAAGTTTAACTGGCAGCTAAAATTCGGCCAGATTTAAGAGTACTAAATTATAGTGTTATATCCCTTAAAAGGGATTGGAAAGAGATTTTGACCTTCCATTTACTTAATGTAGCTGATCTGTACTATTGACTATGTACAACTCTTTCTGTGGGTTTCGGTTGTGTTGTTTACCAATTTATTTTAAATATCATGCGTTATAACAAGATTTTTTGGTAACTTTTACTCTCGATTTTGCCATTGTACAAGATGTTTTTTAAACAGAATTGTTTTTTATAGTAGTAGTAGTAAGCTAAAAATTGAATTTAGTTGAACTATGTTTACATTCTTGCCAATATAACAGAAAAAGTTTAAAAGGCATATTTTTATCTTATACCTTTAAGAACAATACAATAACTTTTTCTAAATATCATGTGTTATCTTAAGATTTTTTGGTAAAGAAGTAGTAAGCAACAAAATTTTAATGTAATTGAACTATGTTTACATTCTTGCCAATATAACCGAAAAAGATAAAAATCCACCAAAGATATTTATAGCTATCAGGTAATCATTGTTTTGATTTAAGCATACTGAAAAGTCTTTAGCTTACTGTTGATTGTTTTTCTATTTATTTGATATGTTTCTTTATAACTTGTTATTAAATATAAATGCAAATTGTCTGCTGTGCACATTTTACCTGCATTTCCCCAACCACTGTTATATATATTTATTCTTTAGTATTTTCATATTTCTAGTCAAGTTTTGACCTAATTAGTAAATTTTTTGTTATTGTTACTTAAAGGGCATCTGTATCATATTTGCTTCTACAAGAAAGGTTTTTGTGGATTTGAATTCCCAACACCATCAGTCTGTACATCCACCATGCAGTCAACATTATCTTAATTAGCTTATTTATCATATATGATATTGATAACTATGGCTAGTTCGATTTGGAAGCTCCATAACCTCATTTGTTTGAGTAAAAATTACCACTAGGGAATTTTTTTTTTCTTTGAATGTTTACTTTTAGAAACTTTAGTTTGTCATAATTGTCAGTGGATATAATTATTAAAATATAGCTGAAATCCTCTCTTCTAGATCATTTTTAATACTCACTCAGTGTCATTACTATACAACATAATCCCTGCGTTATGAATTAAATCCATAAATCAAAGATATTCATTATTGAGAAACTTTAATATTTTACGATAATTATTTGTAGTTATATTTCTTTATGGATTTACCAGTATCATAATGAGTGATTCTGCTGTATAGTTATGACACCAGGAAAGTCACTGTTGAATAGATGCTGTTATTTGCCAAATTTAACAATATAAATATTAATGTTATGTTCATTCAAAGAGGAAATATTCTTTTAAAGAAATAAATAAGCATTTGGATTATTATTTATTAGTAAATAAATGTAATTTGATGATAAAGTTTTTATGAATAATTTTACCCCAAACAGCAGCTAAAAATAAAGTTGTAATTTAGCAAATATACTTATATATTTATAATTCTGAATGCATTTGTAGTTGTCTAGCTTTTACCTCTTAAAATAAAATATGGACATAATGAACATAATTATATGTCTCATGGACTTATTGGACTATTGATAAACTACCAATGTAGTATTTTTAAGTATCTCTAATCTATGATAAGATACTCATGCTCAGACATATGTAATGTTATGTCTTCTGCACATCATGTCATCTTTTCCCAGAAACAAATATAAGTAATTGTTCTTTAAAGGGACAGGTTCGCCATCTGTTTGACCAATCATACCTCTAGTCTCAGAAACGAGAATTTCTTAGCTTAACGTATTCATAACAGTGTTTATAGCTCACTATTGAATTTTGAGCCTTCAAATCCATATGTGTCCAGAATTATCTACTTTTGAAAGTTAAAAAAATCTTGAAAATCTTGAAAATCTGCCATATATAGAAAAGACATAAATAGAAAGTTACATTTCTAGTTTGAGGTATACTTTTGAAGGAATTATGTTATTGTTGTACATTTCTGGTACTTCGGAAGACTATTCCCATGTATTCAAGACCCAAATCAACTACTGAAAATGGTGATTCCTTCCATGTATATATATTTATATCAAATGCCTGTTCAGATGATTAGTATTAGTGAGAATATACGGAGGAAGCAGTCCTTCACTGTATTGGAAGATAACTATTTTTGTTCTGTTGATTTATTTTTTTGAAGAATCTGAAACTGTTGCCATATATTGATCCAGTTACAGCCCTGTCAATCCATCAATCTGTCCACGTTACTTGTATTGTATGCACAATATTGCATATTGTATTGTATGAAATATCTAGACTGAAAGATTGCCTGAGCCAAGTACTTCTAACATAGTGGCGGAGCCAAAGGGGGGATAGAGGGGGCGTCCCCCCCCCCCCCCTCAGCAGCCCGGAAAGCAAGTTTTTCGGGCAAAAACTTCATAACTTGGTTAAAGATTCGGGCAATCTCGTATATCTCGCCTCTCTCCCTCTCGGACGTAACCTGGCTCCGCCTCTGTTCTAACCAAGTTACTTTTCTTGTCTTGAGTGTATGCTACTAGTTAATACTTATTATTAAGTGATACAATCAGGCATACGTGTTTACTTATTTAGTGGCCACTTTGCCTTTTTCTTTATTTAATTTTTTTTTCTCTTTTGATACTTTGGCCTTTCCCTCCTCCCTTTTTTTGGTGCCGCTACTGTTTTAACTGTACAGTACAGTCGCACAGATCAAACTTGCGACTGTCACATCCTAAGAGCAACTGGATTTAACAACTGGCCAATCGCTGAATTTAGTCAATCTGAGCGCAAAGACCATTTCCCATTTGCATTTAGTTGCGTGTCGACTGTGACGAATCCTATGAAAAACTTTGAATGGTTCACCTTAAACACAGTCGATTAAAGGAACATGATCTATCAGTTATATTTATGCATTTATCAGCAATTCTTTAACTTCATGCCTTAAATCTTTTATACATTATCGAGAGAATACAAAAACATCGCTTTCAATATAAAGAATTTTATTAAATTCATTATGGAATAATTTTCAACATTGATTAATTGTTGCAATTACATTCCCTAGATCCGGCGTTTATTATGAGCCCTTTCTTTTGACAGTTGGCGCAGCATAACTTCAAGCCATTTGCGCTTCCAACGTATCCGGGATCACATGAGTTACATTGAGAACCCTGCCAACAGTCGCCTGTCCATGGTGCTCGAGGGGCTGAAAATAAAACAATAGTTTTGAAGATAGTCATAGTAGAATATTTCTTACTAAAAGATCAAAAACTTGACCTCAACATTGACGTTCAAATAGTAATGAAAAAATGGTATTAAAGTTGATTAATAACGTATCCATGGTATGAGAATAAAAAAAAACAAATGTTTGTGGGTGATAAATTGTTATCTACAGTAACTTACACTTAATTTTAATTTTAATTTATACGATATTTCTTCAGTTGCAAGTCTGTAACTTACATAATAATAGTCAAGGTTTTTAATTAAGTCTCTTGAAACACATTTTTGACCGTGAAAGGAATAGCAAAACTTACCACATTGACATGCAAATGAGACTTTACCACCATGAACAATTTTGTTCACTGCCAGTTTGTCGGAAGCACTTTGACAGCAAATTGGCATGCCATTTAAATGGGCTTGAGCTGGATGTAGAAGTGGGTTACACTGTTCTCCTTTCAAACACGTTCCCACGACACCTGGAAGCAGATAATTCGATAAATGTCACATTCATATGAAACCTGTACGATTTAAGATTATTCAAAAGAAAAAATGTGTTACACGAACATACATAGTTAAATGCTCAGTGTCTTGAGATGTCACAACGAACCCCGAGACAACGTTACAGTACACAGGCGTCGCTTTAGAATAACAATTCAATATAGGTATATGAATGAAGTTAACTTACGAATAAAGTCACAGGTACAAAATGCACCTTTAGTAGCATTTGCACTAGCGGCACGTAAGTATTTACTGCATTTAGCTGAGCCAGATGGTGGACAACAGACATCAAGATTCCTTGCTGGAAGTCCAGGTTTGTTGACATTAATTGTCTTCTTATTACATCCACAATTTCCGACTTGACAATTGGCTGTAGAAGAAAATATGTATTTAAATGCATACAGTTTGAAATCGTGCTACAATATAGAAGATATATAGAGATATATGAAATCGAGATATAATGCTCATTCCTTGTTTGGTTTTTATTTTAAAAGCGACCAATGTCAATTAGAAAAAACTTGATATGCCATGAAAACTGCTAGAAAATCGCATTTGGTAAGATATATTTGTTGTAATAAATAAAAAAAATAAGTGACCGATGATATTGACTTCTGTGTTTATTATCGCAGCTTGAAAATGTAGCATATGAATATAAATAATATTTAAAAATGTGCGGTTAAAAATATAATTTAACTAAAAGTAAAATACATTAAAAGATTTGTACTTACTGGATTCTCCGAGTCCTACTAACATACAGGTTAATGCAATTCCAATGAGGGCTGGGTACATTTTGATGGTTCAGTCTGTAAATAAGAATATGATATTGATAATTCAGAGTAGTTATTATTTAGTTTCAGATCTCCATAAATAATTACTGTAACTCAAAACGCCAGTCAAAACCCCCACACATTGTTAGTCGTAATATAAAAAAAATGATGATATTATGTAAAACAGTTGAAATTTGTTTTTGCGAAAACAAGTCGATTTGAAAAAAAAATTCATTATTGAAAAAACTAATATTGAATAAATTCAAAAAATTTTCCATATTCAAACAGATGATCGACATTTGACTTTTGTTTTAGACCTATCTCAGCAAAGCGCCAAGAATCTGGACAAAGAAAAATAAGTCTTACCACAATACTTCACTGTAATAATAACTGCACGTAACGATAATAACTGATGAAAGCTATAGCTAAATAATAAATGGAATGAAGCGGTTGGTTGCATCGCCCTATTTATAGTGTTATTACATCCTGTTTACATAAACAATATTGAAATTCAACCCTCGGGGTGGCAAATAATAGCGATTGCACAATAATCAAATTCAAATTCAGTCAAATGAATAGATGAGTCATTTCAAAAAATGCTCTTTGGATAAAAAAAAAACTTGATTTCAAGATAAATCCAGTTCTGAATGGCTTATTTTGTATGTCAGGTCGCAAAAATTTCCAGTTACTCTCGGAAAACTTTTATGTATTGTATTGTTTAGCTCGAAAACACTTGGCGAAACTTGGTGAAATTATTATTATCAATCATGAATGAACTATGGTGGCCCATGAGCGCCATAGCTGTTTTATTATTTCATTTATGAAAAAAATATTCTTTTTAATTTGAATTCATTTTTATTTCACTTTCATTTCGTTTTTTATTTTACTTTTATTTTTATTTTACCTTCATTTCGTTTTTTCATTTTACTTTCATTTTGTTTTTAAATTCGTTTTACTTTCATTTCGTTTTTTATTTTATTTTCATTTTGTTTTTAAATTCATTTTACTTTCATTTCATTTTTACTTTTTATTTCACTTTCGTTTTGTTTTTAAAATCATTTTACTTTTTATTTCACTTTCGTTTTGTTTTTAAAATAATTTTACTTTTACTTTCATTTCACTTCTTATTTTACTTTCACTTTCGTTTTGTTTTTAAAATCATTTTACTTTTACTTTTATTTTCGTTTTAAAAAAAAAATTCTTCTTCATTTATTGCGCCATAGTGTCCAGATTATCCAGTCACACTTTCTATCATCCAAGCAATGACGTCATTGCATACTAGTGTGAGCAGGAGTTATTTCCCTTGTGCTCTTGCGAGTAACCTCCCCCTTAACGGAGCAAATAATTATGTCTAAACGAAAATGGACAGATTTTAAGGCCCAAAATGCCAAACGTAGAAACCAAACTAGTGATGGCGAAACCTTGGAATATTTAACTGTTCAAAGACTCTCAGAACATGTTGAGGGTAAATGTCAAAAATATCGCCGTCTTGGTCCCCTCACAATGGTGGAATTTAACGGGGAGATGTCATTAGATAGCATTAAACTAACGCTGCTTGTCAAAAACATTTTGATATTCCATCTTCTTACAAATGTGATATCATGGCAGGAGATCGAGGGCCATCTTTCTCAAATATTGATCAGATCAGATCAAATCATTTAAATTACTTCACATCAGATTCGTTGAATTTTCTCAGACTGACATGAACACAACAAATGAACATAATAGGAATATGCCTTCTTGTAGTGGTATTTCTACTAAAAAACCTGTCGGCACAAATATTTTGTCAGTTACACCATCAGCACGACCTCAAGCTTTCCCTGCCTCCATTTCCCTTGCAAGCATGCTGAATATTGGGAAATGAATACCCCCAGCACCCATAGATTAAAGATAGCTTGCGTTACAAGGTAACATACGCCCACTGGCAGCTGTCAGAAAAAATAAAACAGTCTTTAGTGACTAAAGTACGAATTTTCTCATATTGAAGAAATCACTCATGCTGAATAATTCCACAAATTTTTTTAAAATCAATATCAATAACCCAAATACAACAAACAATTAAATCACACAGCTCTAATCAAGGGCAAAAAACAACTTTTAACGCGTTTTTCGTAAGTTAATGGCATTAACTCAAAAATATTTCATCGAAAATGCGTCAAGTTAGAACCTGTCCGAGATCTTATCAATTTCAATGATCACACCAAGTTTCATCAGAATCGGTTGAAGACTGTAGCTTCTATTGTGCCCACGAACAAATTTTGACGCGTTTTTACAAAGGTAAGGGCAATAACTCGAAAACCGTTCATCAAAATTGCATCAAGTTAGAACTTGTCCGAGATCTTATCTCCAATGATCACCACAAGTTTCTTCAGAATCGGTTGAAAACTGTAGCTTCAATCCTGCTCACGAACTATTTTTAGCAAATTTCGACGCATTTTAACAAAGTCAAGGGCAATAACTCAAAAACCGTTCATCGAAAATGCGCCAAGTTAGAACTTGTCTGAGATCTTATCAATTCCAATGATCACACCAAGTTTCATCAGAATCGGTTGAAAAATGTAGCTTCAATCCTGCTCACGAACTATTTTTAACAAATTTTGACGCGTTTTTTACAAAGTCAAGGGCAATAACTCAAAAACCGTTCATCGAATATGTGTCAAGTTAGAACTTGTCCGAGATCTTATCAATTCCAATGATCACACCAAGTTTCATCAGAATCGGTTGAAAACTGTAGCTTCAATCCTGCTCACAAACTATTTTTAACAAATGTTGACGTGTTTTTACAAAGTCAAGGGCAATAACTCAAAAACCGTTCATCGAAAATGTGTCAAGTTAGAACTTGTCCGAGATCTTATCAATTCCAATGATCACACCAAGTTTCATCAGAATCGGTTGAAAACTGTAGCTTCAATCCTGCTCACGAACTATTTTTAACAAATTTCGACGCGTTTTAACAAAGTCAAGGGCAATAAT